ATTATTTCACATAAAAAGTCACTATTCATGCACCAAAAAATAACAAAATATTCTTTGAGTGTGAAAAAACTATCTTAACTCGCTCTAAATATTCTAATAACCCTTAAGAATTATTCCATGACCACAAAATATTTTTCATGTCATACCAATACTTTCTTGGTAGCTATTGTTATAGGCGAATTCGACCAACGCTAGGTACTTTTTCCAATTGTGGATTGATCTAGCACACATGCTCGTAGAATGTCTTTCAATATTTGATTCACCCATTTGGTCTATCCATCTATTTATAGGGTAAAATATTGTGCTAAAACTTGGTTCCCATCAATTCATGTAAACTCTTCCAAAATCGTGATGTAAACTGTGGATCTCAATCCGATATGATCACTATTAGAATCCCATGCAATCTCATAATCTTTTTTAAGTATAATTTTGCATATTATTGCATGGAACATGTGGACTTAATTGCTAAAAAGTGAGCCAATTTAGTTAATCGATCCATAATGACCCATATGCCATTGGCTTCATGTTACGACCATGGAAATCCGAATATAAAGTCCATTTATATATGTTTCCACTTCCACTCGAGAATGTCCAACGATCTTAATAATCCTAAGGGTTTTTTGTGTTCAACCTTAACCTACCGATATGTCAAACACTTACCACGTAATATGTGATGTCCCATTTCAACCCTTTCCACCAATAGACCTTTTTAGGATCTTAGTACATCTTTTGTACCACTAGGATGGATCATATAGGAGGTGGTGTGAGCTTTTTCAAGATTTCTTCTCAAAACTCCTTTACGTCAAGAACACAAAATCTACCTCGATAATGCCAAATACCTCCATAATCTAGGGTAAAATATATTTTCTTTCTTTCAACTACTTTTTATTGAATTTTAAGTAGCTTTAGATCATTTAATTACTTTCCTCGGTTCTTTGTTTAGCATTTGGCTACAACGTCATTGTACCCAATAAGTTTTCTTTACTTTGACCGAGTATAATTTTCAACTCAAGTTTCTCCATATCTCATGAAATTTATACTTGTAAGACTGCTATCGACTTTTTACTCAAAGCATCAATCACAACGTTTGCCTTATCGGGATGATAGTGAAAAATAATGTTGTGGTTAATATGTACTCAAGCCACCTTCTTTTTCTTATATTCAATTCTTTCATATCTATTTATTGAATAGAATTAGATAGATAACCTTACGATATGCGTTTGCATTAATGATAGATTGAAAGATGTGAGACAAATACTAATGTACATAAATGATATCATTAAATATCCCAAGTCGTAGCATTATCAAGAATGGATATTGGCTATACGTGTTTAGACTTGTGAGTGCTATGCTCATGCTATATGATAGTAGTAGGAGATCTTAGACTTATTGGCATAATAATACTAAAGCAAGCACTTAGGTGATTTATGTTAAATAACATATCATTAGACTTGATTTATCATCATAACCCACTTGGTTTAAACTATGGAAATCTCGTACGAGATAGGTACAAATGGTTTTAGACTTGAGATCATCATAGTTATCTCATTAGATGATTAGTGTACTTTGAAACTCATTTGATGGACCAAGTAAGGAGTTGCACATGGACGATTTGTTGAGTATACTAGGAATCTAATGGAGGTAGGTTGATGATTAAAATAGGACATGTCATTCCTTATATGCTAAAGGAGTTATCACATTGTACTTTGATAAATGTCTTCTCAAGAAATCTATAGTCACGAGTAGTAGTAAATCGATAGAGTATAATTGGTTTACTTTAAGAGTTAAGACATTTAGGAATCAATGAAAACTTATATGATTATGATCAAATAAGACTAATAACGAAGTTCGAGATAACACTATAATAAGTTGGCATGAGGATCTGAATTATATGGTAATTATGCTAATGAAAAGTAATTAAAGATTAATTAATTCTCCTAGAGAATTGGATAGTCATGATGCCTTGCTAAAGGCCAATCTTGATTTATGTATCAAGAGATAAAAGAGGTGTCTTTTATTTTTTATACATTACCAATATATCTAAGAGTTTATTGAGTCACACGCATAAGTTTAAGCATTCACATAATAAAAGAGAAGCAAAGATGTTAGAAAAATTTTCTAATTTAAAAGTTTTCTATTTTAGAAAAAGTTTCCAAAAATGAAAAGTTTCCTAAAATGGAAATTCTTCTAAAATGAAAAGTTTCTTAAAATGGAAAGTTTCCTATTTTAGAAAATTTATTTCGAAAGAAGTCGAGTTCCAAATTTGAAAATAAATAACCTAAACGTGAATCTATGAATATATTGAAGAATTTAATTTATGCTTTAACTCATGAAATTATGTTTAGTTAATTCAACGGCATGATCTTAGGCCTTTTAGATGATGCAAATTTTTTGTTTTATTTCGCACCTCCATAGGATGCATGATCCTTCAGTATGCATAATTAAGCATACTATGTTATTTGTGATATGATTGATGAAATACAATATTTATGCTCGTGTTGTTTTTTGTGAAATGATTGATTAAATGTGATGTGCGTATGTGATAAGGTAGTCAATGTTACCCTTAAAAGTTGATGTCTTGTTTTGTACAATTGAATATGATATGCATGCATGTCATAAATTTTATAAATTATAAGCTTGTAGTCGTTAGTAGCTTGCTATTTTTTTGAGGTATAGGGTTATAGCCATTAGGAGCTCATCATTTTTATAAGTTATAGGCTTGCGACCTTCAATGGCTTAATGTTTTTGTGAGTTATGAGCTTGCACCCATTAGGAGCTCACCATTTTTATGAGTTATGTGCTTCCAGCCATTAAGGGCATATCATGTTATAAGTTATGAGCTTGTATTTATAGCCATTAGGAGCCCATTATTTTTATGTGTTATGGGCTTGCAAGCATTAGAGGCTTGTCATTTTTATGAGTTATTTGCTCACCATTTTTATGCGTTATGGGCTTGCAACTATTAAGAGCTCACCATTTTTATGAGCTATGGGCTTGCAGTTGTTTAGGGCTCATTGTTTTATGGATTATGGGCTTATAGTCATTCAAGACTCGTCATTTTATGAGTTATGGGCTTATAGCCGTTAGCAGTTCGTTATTTTTATTAGTAAAGGACTTATAGTTGTTAGAAGCTAGCTATTTTGTGAGTTATGGGCTTGCAACCATTAGCGATTTGCCATTTTTATGAGTTATAATCTTGTAACCATTACGATATAGGCTTGCAGCTATTAGAGTTTCACCATTTTAAACTTTTTTTTCTCTCTTTTAGATTATTGAAATAGGCATTTGATCGATCGAAGTTCCAAATTACTCAATTGGCTTATCTCAATAGGATAAGAATAGTCAAATTGGCATAGACTCATAGCATAATAGGACTAGACATTTACTTTCAACATGCAAACAATGTAGCCTACTTCGGATAGGGTGTGTGGTGGTGATTTCTATCTTTTCTATATATAATCAACTCTTTATCTAGATATTTGTGCATATAAGTTATTTTGGGTTTTTTTATTTCTTAATACTAGGTGGTGACTCTCTTCTTATTTTATACCCATCCAAACCTAAGCATTTGCAAGACACCCTTAACATCTCGCCCGCGACACTATATATACAAAAATCCCAATTTAATCTGTTAAATTTTAAAATAATTCATATAATAAAATCTAACTAATTAAACTCCAAATTAACTTCATAAATTATTAATTCAAGACAATTAATCATAATATAAACAATTAAATCACTTAAATTATATTTTTCTTAAATGGATCTCAAAATCCTAACTTTATCGATCTCAACTTAAATGATAAACCCATCATAATCCAACCTCATAATAATCAATAATCATCTAAGAATACGTCAAATAACCAAAAATCATAGTAGAACCATACCTTTCTTTGTGTATTTGAATTTCAAACTCAAGAACACCAATTCTTCAAACTTTAATCTTGCTTGATATCCACTTGATTCATCAAAAACTAACGTAATTTAAAAAAAAAAATCTTAAAACTCACTTCTACACAATTTCTATTACTTTAATCCATCTCACTTAATAAATTTAATCAAGTTTAACTAATTCTAATTACCTTATTTTTTCTTAATCTAAAACACATTTCATTAAAAACACCTCACATAATAAACATAATTAAAATATATCAATCACATGCATAGAATAAAAATAAAATTAAGACACACACAAGCATGCACATGCATCATATGAAAAAAGAAAATTTGGAATGTTAATATTAGGAACCTTACAACTTCTATTAGAGAATTAGTAAAGAAATTTTAATACTCACATTTTGATAAGTGTAGTACGTGAAAGCTTAATTTCCATTGAAAGATAGATAGATTGGACATATAAAATTTTTTTAAGGACAGATTTGATGTTATTAAATATTTAGAAATAGGTTGAACGGCATTTCTAAAATATGATAACATGTACAGCCATTTTCTGTCATAAAACCAGCTGAACTATTTTTTGTTATTAACAAACTATTAAAAAAACAAAACATGTTCTTTGCAAGCCAAACAAGACCGAATGACTTGATCAACTAAGAAATTTAGTAAATTATAAATTAGGAACCTCTAGTTTTAAAAAATTAATCAATTAATTCCTTTTGCTTTTAAAATTAATTATTTAATTCTTTAATTAATATTAACAACACTTAATTTAATATTATTATATTTTTAAAATATTTTTTATCATTAATCTTTCTATAATATCTATTTAATTGTTTTATTTTTTAAAATAAAATGTAAAAAAATTAAAAAATATATAAAATGAAAGAAAAATTAAATTACTAATTTTAAAAAATAATTAATTTTTTTAAAAACCAAAATGACTAATTTATAATTTACTCCTAAAAAAAAATTAGGCAACGCCAAAAAAAGAAGCGGAACTCGACACTTTTTGTTTGGGCTTGTGTTGACATGGGTTCTATTTATTTATTTATGAGAGAGTTTTGCAAATCTGCTTTTGTTTGGTTTTGCCTGAGCCTGACATGACATCAGGAGGATCAGTTGCACAAAGGGAGAAAACCGGAATTCCTCCTATTCCTCCCTTCGCAGTCTCAGTATCTGTACCTGTTCCTGAAGAAAATAATAAGCCAGCCACAAGAAGTGTTTCAAAACTAAAATTACAGCCACCCAAAAAAATATTAGGAAAAAGAAAACACAATCTGTTGCGCTCCTCTCATCGTCGTACTAATACTTATTCCCAGATTTGCAATGCTGGATTGAGAATGGTATTAGAGGAAGATGATAGGTTTTTGGAAACCTCGAAATCCTTAAACCAAAACCCCCGGAGTCACAATTACAAACCCCAAATCCCTATTTCTCAATGGTTGCTATCAGAGACAGAGACAGAGACATAATCATAGACTCCTCTCTCTCCAACAACAACCACCACCTCTATGATGATTTCTCCATATTCCCTCCTAGCAACCATGAAAACCTCAAAATCCATTTAAATGACGACCACCCAGCTCCCCCATCATCAAACTTGTCTCCTCTTCAATCTCAATCGTCCCATCTCAATCCCCCACCATCTCCATCGTCGGTGTCCCAGTTACCAAGATGGTGGATTTTTACTCTTCAGATTTTGCGTTCAAAGATGGCTTCTATTGGTTCCTATTTTGGATGTATTGATGGAAAAGGAAGGGCCTTTTGGTCTTCTGGAAATGTTGGTCTGGCAGTGATGGTGGTTGTTTGGTGGTTGTGTGTCCGAGTTAGGCGGCACTGGCGGAGGAAACAGACTGTGGGGAGGTTATTGCAGTTTATCGGAGAGAAAGATAAGGTTTGTTTCTCTGTTTGTTTGTTAATGCTTTTGTTGATTTCATTATAAATGTTTTTGTTGATTTCATTATAAAGTGTTTGTCAAAATGCCTATAAGAGTAAACGATTTTATTGCCACTGTTTAGAATTCTTTGGATGTGTATGTATGATATTCAATTGTTTTATTTCTTCTAGTGGTGCTGAATTTAGGTTTGGTTGCATGCAGAAGATTATCCAGCTTCTGAATCAAATTGCTCAAATGAATGAAGTCCTGCTAACCTATCATAAAGTCATGGCTTCTAAACTGGCCGATCAATGAGTGATTCATTGGGAATTTCTTGGTTGTCTTCTCCTTTGCGCATAAAGAATTGCACATTAAGAATTAGAGGCTCGAGGATAGATAGCTAGAGCTAGATTCGATTGCAGTTTGATGGTTCCAATCCAAATACATTTCAAGGTTAGAGCATTCTGTGACATAAGAGTGGACCACATCCACATATTAGAGTACTGCAAACTTCTGCCATATAGATTGTGGTTCAACAAGGGACCACCGTCGGAGCTCAAATGGAGAAGAATCTTAAGAGACACTATCTGAGATGCTCATGCTTTATCATTTAGACAAAGACAACTTTTAATATCACATCCATATAGCTCTTGATTCCTGGATGGACTCATATATACTATAGTATGTTTACAGTTTTATATGCTTTTCCTTCATAAAAGTTCAAGGTTGATAAATGATAGTAGTAATCAATTTAGATAGAATGAACTTCTTCAACGTAATTTGCGTACTTTTAATGTTTTGTGTTATGTCCTCCTGTCAAAAATATTGGTTAATGGTTCAGAATTCTGAATGATTTTTTTTTCCAGGTTTGTTTCATGTTGAAATTAAACTTGAATCGGTATTTCGTTTTGTATAATCAATGCATGGTGGATCCAAATAGTGTCATCTTTCTGGTTCTTATATAGGCTGCCGTCTTATTTGTGGCATTTTTCATTAGGTGGAGTGCTGATGGTGGCTATGGTTTATGTTAGTAACAAGATGGTGACGTCAGTGAAGCCGTGGTGGTTGAAGTGACTGAGTTAGAGTATTACGAGTTGGTGGTTCTAAAAATAATATTATTTCCTCTCTTTCGTGAGGTTAAAGTATTTTCTTCTAAAGTAGCCCCATTTAGAGGTTAACAAGTTTACGTTTTTCGGTAATCAATTTTTCAATTTGTATTTTGCATTGAAAAGTAGGAAAAATGTTTTTGGCAAAACAAATACAGTCTAAATAAAACTTGCTTTTGAGCTTCTACCCGCCAAAAGAGAGATTAGATAAGAATCGTATTAGTTGTGATTAGAGCTATCGATTGTGTGATTTGTACCCTTACCTGCCGGTAGGGTGTCTTTTTAAAAGAAAAAAACAATCCAGCCCAACGAGAAGGTGCAAGAGCTTCCTAACTCTAAAATGCCCAATCAAGGTTCACAACACATCAAGAAGGATCGATTTGTTAAATGGACCCAAAGCACTTGAAGGACGCCAAGGGGCGTCGTCCTCCGAGAAGAAGACCTTGATATCTTCTTCCTTTAAGGGCCCTAATCTAGGTTATGTTTGTTTGGAGAACTTATTTTCTTTATTTTTCAGTATTTGTTTTGTGTTTAGAAAAAAATCAACAGAAAATGATTTTCAGTCAATAGAAAATGATAGAATATTTTTGAAAAAATGCTTTCCTAGTTTAAAAAGAGGAAAACATTTTTCTCACGAGCTATCTCTTTTTGTGTTACTTACCTCTCTCTCGATATATTTTAACAATTTTTTCTCTATTTAAAATATATCAAATTAATTTTTAATTATTCCTTATCAATTATTATTTATTATTTAATTATTTTTTCTTTATTTCTATTAATATTTGGTTTTTTGGTTTATAGACATATTAAATATTCTTAAAAACTATTTTTAGACCTCAAAATTATTTTTATAATAAATATTTCAATAATTTATTTTTATTTTTTATTATTATCTCAAACACCACTTACGCTATACTTAAATGATTGAAAATGATTATTATAAGACTATAATTTTTTGTAAAAAATTTGAAATTAATTAATTCATCAATAAATATATTATTTTTTCAACACTCGTTCATTTGCAACTAAATCAATAATTTATAATTTTAATCGATTGTAAATTTTGTTGGTAATTGTAGTGCATAATTAGTTATAAATTATTCTAACATTAATCTTTTGAAACCAAATGAAATAATTATCTACAAATGATAACTAATAATTTATAAAATTATTTTTTAGACTAAATTATCAGTTCAATTTCTAAAAAAAGAATTCTTAATTGAATTACCAAAATAACAATGCTAGATTACTTAATTTTTTTTTTTTACTAAATATGAATATTGACTTGATTTTGTCTCAAGCAATTTTAATAAATTGGTTTGATGGTTAAAAAAGTATATTTTATTTTTTTGAATCAAAATTTTAGGGTTAGTATTTATAAAAAATTATTAAATTTTTTTAAATGTATCTTATATTGTGAAATTATGAATACGCTTTTTAAAAGTTTTCTCAAAACTTATCGATGTAATAATCACATACTATTTTTGTATTTTAATTTTCTATATCAAACAAACGTAGGAATATATTTTCCAATAGATTTTTCATATAATTGCCAAACAATGAGAAAATATTTTTTTTGGAAAACTATTTATTGAAAAACTATTTTTTCGTAAATTGATTTTCCTATGGAAGTTGTTTTCCGTCAAACAAACAGAGCACTAGAGGAGCAAGATGCTACTATGTTCCATCATTACTTGAAAAACAAAATATTAAATAAAGAAATCTTAATGATGATATTAATTAGATCATCATTTATCATAACTCGCATTAACATCGTTGTAAAATTAAAATGTAATGATAATAAAACATCAATAATTGTTGGCTCCTTCACTAACTTTGAAAGGAAAAAGATATTTTCACTTTTCGATCATGCAGAAGCTTCCATTATCGCTTATATAAAGGAAAGGAAGACAACCACCAAAAAAAAATGACATAAGTTACACTCTTAATCATAGGAGCAACAAACGGGTTTTTAAATCACTCTCTAAACGGGTTTATTATATGCCTCCCCTATACTCTTCCCAAACTATATGCAAACTTAAACACACTAGCATACGAAAGGTTTATCAAACTAACTTACCACCTTCCGACCACTAGCTTAGGCATCGGAGGGCCTTCTATCTAACTAGGGGATTTGCTTTATTGGTACACGACACATAGGAACTTCATCCAATCTCCACGAATGCTCGTCAATCGCCATTACCATCGTGAACCATGTGTCCTCAATTTATTAGTTGAATCAAATGACAAATCATCAATTAGTGTCGTTTATGAGAATCTCAACAAAATTCAACCATATTCCTCATATCTCCAATTTTACTATCTAGAGTGTCTCTAAGTTCATGCATGACGGATCGGATAAAAGTTCCTAAGTATACTAACCCTACAAACTTTGTTAGCCTAACACCCAACTCGTGGATGTTGTCCAATTGAATCAACATGTCCGGAATCTCATAGAGGTGCTCTTGGTGGCTCAAGCACAAGCGAAAATGCTTGGCTTAATGCATTAGACGTTAATGCACCCTCCGCCTCCAACTACTCCAATACCTCTACGCACTAAACCTCGTGTTGAAAAAGTGATCTCCTTAACCCTTATAAGTCGATGTGGCTCATACATGTCAAACGAAGCAAATAAAAGACATGCCCGTCATAAGGCAACGTCGATAGTGAAGGCAACGTGTTTAGGCGAAAATAGCAAAAATAGGCAAAAATAATTAAAATCGCCACCTAATATTATGGTTACTAGGAAACCCTATGATTGGTCCGTTTAGAGTTCGGGTAAGGAGTTTATTACGTATAGGAAAGATTAAAAATCACCCTACCTCGTCCTATCTAAGGCAAGTTGCATTGCATATAACATTGATTTAATTTCGATTTTTTATGATGAAAATGTGTACCTATTTTTCAAGCATTTGCACACTAGTCGAGTGATTTAGGACTTGATCGGTCAAAAACCTTATTCTCACTCTGTAATGGATAAAAAAATGATGAATGAAAGGATATGCTCGCTAATGTGACTTAAATAGCATGCGTGAAAATGAAACTTACAAGTAGGCAAAATTAGCAAATAGATAGAATAAGCAAATTGATAAAATAGAAAAATAAACGAGATAGGCAAAAATAGATAAAATCAATAAATTGGCAAAATCAACAAATAAGCAATTAGGAAAAAATAGGCGAGGCTTGGCAAAATGGGCAAACGAGCAAAAAAATGGAAAAATTGGTAAAATTGATAGAAATCGACAATTAGGCAAAAAATAACAAAAATTGGCACTTAGTCAAAAATTGACAAAAGTCAACAATCAAGCAAAAATCGACAATTAGGTAAAAATAGATAAAAATCGATAATTTAGGCAGAAATTGACAAAAAAATCAACAATTAGGCAAAATCGATAGTTTAGGTAAAAAATCAACAAAAATTCTTGAAGTGGGCAAAAACAATGGCAAAATTGAGAAAAACAATAAGTGGCAAAATTAACAAAATTGAAGAAATAATAACAAAGAAGATGAGAATGATTTAAATAATGAATTTAGTAAAGTAAAAAAATTTGACGAAAATAAATAGAAAGCGAGATCGACAAAGTTGGAGAAAATAGCAAAAACGATCCGATGACGAAATTCAAACTTTAAATATCATGACTTTTAGGCAAAATTGATATCATGTAAAATTAATTGTCATAATGTGTATGACTAATCGTGTTTGATAAAAACGAGCCCAAACAATAAAGCCTAAACTCGTAGGATTCGAAATTGCATTTTTTTAATAAAATTACCGCGCCGGTAATTAGACATTATTATCTACAAAATGGCCTCAAAAACACAATTTAAAGCGATGCGATGCAAAAATCATATTTTTTAAGATAGATCGATATAATTTCATTAATCATCACAATTGATAAAAAATTGCCCAAACCCAAGATTTGGACCAACGTGTTTTTAAAAAATGTATACCAAATAACGAAGAACATCCAAATATGTCCCAACCAAAATATCATCCACCCATCACAAACGTAACAATAACTTAATTTAAATACACACCACCACAATTCAAATAAATCATGCATAAGCAATGAATTAAATTAATTACACAACACAGACTATTTAATTAATTACAAGCACACATGAATGAAAATCAAATTTAATACATACAATAATAAAATGAAATAAAGAGAAAAGTTAAAAATAAATTACTATAAAAAATGAGTCGGATGGATTTGCTCGACGAACCCTAGGTTAATTTCAACATTTTCAACCCCGATAGAGACCAATACTTAGTCAACTCGGGTAGGAAAGGTGGTTGTCCATTATCAAATCTAGATCGGATGATCATTACGGAGGTCGGACCAACCGTGGTAGCTATTGGAGGTATACACGATCCGACCGGTCGCCGGAGGTGCGTGGTGTCGAGATTGGCCTGGAGGAACGGTGCACTCTGGAGGGCTTACTCGCGTATGAAGGCAAGGCATAGGTTGCATGCTAGCAAGCTCGTAGGTATGTTACGCATAAAAGGCCTAGAGGAGGCGGGGCGATGAGGCGTGGGCATGCGGGTGTGTGTTAGGGTACACGAGGTTGGCCTACTAGGTGTGCGGGGTTATCGTGCATTGGGCGGCGGACACGTGGGCATACGGATACGCGATCCGGCCCGAGGGAGAAGTTGTGGTATACAAAAGGCGGTGGGCGTACGATGAATGTGTGTGGGCTACTAGAGTGGGCGTTGGCTAGTGTATGTAGGCGTTAATTGAGGATGTATATAGTTGAAAGGGAGAGGGCTAGTTTTAGGCGAGAGAGAGAAGGCTATTGGGCGATGAGGTATGCTTGGGTTATTGCTAGATTGGCGTATCTAGGTACTGTAGGTCGTTAGAATGTGTATAGTGAGGTAGTTGTAGGTGTGGATTGTGGGAGCTTAATACGGGAATGAGGGAGATGGTTGAATGAGTAGTGTGGGCAACGGGGAGAGTTAGCGGCTAAATTGTTTTGAAGGGATAATGAACGGTAGCTAGGTTTTTTTAGAGGAAAATGGGTTTTATATTGGTCCCTTAGGGTTTTTGGCTAAACTTTGGTTTGGTCACTCATCTCGCAAACCCATTTTATTTTGATCATTTTCTCCTCTCTTTTTTCAATTGCATCCCCTAATGGTGTTTTTTAGTTCTTTTTCTCTTTTCATGTTTTTTATTTTTTTGAAAAAAATTTAGGTGATAATAGTTGCTCCTTTTTGCAATGCTTATGACACAAAACCATTGAAAATTTAACTTTTCTTTGACTTTATATAGTAAGTTTGTAAAGAAAATCATAGAAGGGTGATAAACAAATAAATTAATCAATAAGGTCAAATGATGGCCATTGGGCGATGGGGTGAGCTTAGGTTGTTGCTAGGTCGGCATATCTAAGCGAGTGGGGTTCTTGGAGTGTGTACGAGTAAGGCTAGTTATGGGTGTGCCTTGTAGGAGCTTTGTGCGGGAGTGGGGGAGATGGCTGAATGGGTAGTGTTAGTGAAAGGGAGAGTTGGCGATTGAAATTTTTTGAAAGGATGATAAATAGTAGCTAGGTTTTTTTTTAAAGGAAAATAGGGTTTTTGCATCTGGTCCTTTAGGGTTTTTGGCTAAAATTTGGTTTGGTCACTCATCTCACAAACCAATTTTATTTTGATCCTTTTCTCCTCTCTCTTTTTTTAATTGCGTCCCCCAATGGTATTTTTTAGTCCCTTTTCTCTTTTATTTTTTGGAATAAATTTTGGGTGCTAACAATGCCTATGCCAAAAATGAGGAATGAGATCGAGCACACATTCCTAGAATTACAAATGAGTTATATACATCACACTTGAAAAGAACCAATAATGTAAGGATCTCATAGGGAGAAAGAAAAGGAGAAAAGATATGAATGTCATTATGATGCTAAAATGGCTCTTAATGCCACCAAAGAATATTGAGAAAAGCACCTTTAATGCTCTTCCTTATCAAAAAGGTCACATGTAAGTCCAAAGATAAAATGTTATTGCATAAAAAAAAAAAGACCCAAAGTCTCTTCTTGTTTATGCACGGATCATTATGGAGACTTCATGTGTTACCTTTGGCTCTATATATCCTTAATGTGAAACTATCTAAATAGTTTCTCTCAAGTAAAATAAAGCTAGATAACTACGATGGTTTCAATGATCCTAGAGAGCATGTGCAAAGCATGAGGTGAACCTTTAATCTTATTTTGCATGGGACAAATGTTATCTATAAAATGTTTCCCCGAGCTTTAAATAAAAGTAGAATGAAGGTGGTCTTCTCTATTTTCTTTTATCATCTTGATCTAATTATACCTAAAGAATCCATCCACGAAAGAGTTAGTAGAGTTCTTTATAGCATTTTTTACCAATATGTCAATATGTGGTAGTCGGAAGTCATTTTTAGAACTAGCTTTATTCGGATTTTAAAAGTTAACAAACATTCCGATCCTTTCATTTTTCTTCTCTACCACTATAATTTAGACACCCAATTTGGATACTCAATCACCTTTAGAAAACCTACTTTGAGTTGGTTAATGATTTATTCCTTGACTTTGACCAAGATATCCAACCTCATCCTTTTTGGTTTCTCTTTATAAGCTTGTGACTAGACAATAACGAGATTTTGTGTACTACTTATATCGGTATCCAATCTCAATATGTTTTTGTATAACTATGCAAAAATGTCTATGTATTCTCGTAGTAGGGCAATCAATCCTCTTTTTTTTCCTCTCATAGTCCGTATTTACAACTCTTTTTAATTTTCTTCTATCCTCACATGTCGGTGTAGGTGCCCAAGATCCAACCTTATTTAGATGGTTTAATTTATTATAATATTAAATTATTTATTTTATTAATAAAAAAATCTTTCTATTAATTATTTTCTTTGATATTTTGATAGAGTTAGATAGAAGTTCATATGATATGTATTGCATTAATGATTAATCGAAAGATGTGAGACAAACATTAAAGCACTTACATGATATCATTAAATGTCTTAAGTTATAGCATTGTCTAAAATGGATATTGACTATATACAATAAGACTTGTGAGTCTTATACTCTTGCTATAAGATAACAATAGGAGATCTTACACCTTTTGACATGGTGTTGCTAAAGTAAGCACTTAGGTGATTAATGTTAAAGAGCATATCACCGTACATGACTCGAGCATAAGAACTCATTTGGTTTAGTCGTAGGAATCTCATAACGACATAGGTACAACTAGTATTTTGACTTGAAGTCATCACGATTATCTCATTAGAGGATTATGTACTTTGACACTTGTTTCAATGGGCTCGATCAAAAGTTGCACGTGAGCAATTGGTTGGGTGCAATAGGAATCTAATAGAGATAGGAGGATGACTAAGATAGAATATGTCAATCTTTATATGCTAAAAGGGTTATCACATTTTACTTCGATAAATATTTGCTTAAAGAATCTATGACCACGAGCGAGAGTATACCAATAGAGCATAGTTGGTTTACTCTAGAGCTAAGATAGTTGAGAATTGAAGAAAACATGTGTGATCGTAATCGAATAGACTATAAACGAAGTTCGAGGACACTACTGTGATAAATTAATTTGAGGACTAAATTGTATGACAACTATGCTAGTGAAAAGTAACTATGAATTAATTAATCATCTAAGAGAATTGAATACTCATGATGCCTTTCTAGAGGTTAATCCTCATTTACGTATCAAGAGATAAAAGATGTGTATTTCATTCTTGATACATTGTCAACATATCTTAGAGCCTTATTGAGTCACACACACGGGTTTAAGTATTCACATAATAAAAGAGAAGCAAAGATTTTAGAAAAGGTTTTCGAGCTTTGAAAGTTTCCTATTTTGGAAAAAGGTTTTCAAAAATGGAAAGTATCCTATTTTGGAAAGTTTCTTGTTTTGGAAACTCGTTTCCTCTAGTGAAAAGTTTCTAATTTTAGAAAATAGTTTTCTAATTTGAAAGTCGGTTCCAAATTTGAAAGTAAGTTACCTAACAAGAAAATTAGTTTCCTAATTAAGGATAATCCGAAAAATTGCTTCCTAATGTGGGCTTCTTAAAAATATATGACCTAATTTATTTTAATAGTCCAAATTAATTAGGCCAAAAGAGTTTGATCCAATAGGCTTAATTTAAAAACTTGTAAGATATTTTGGTGGAAGGATAAACTTGAGCCCTATTAGATAATGCTCAAAACTTATAATGATAAGATCAAACAAGTGCACATATATTGTAACTCTTTATCTTTAGAGGAAAAGGATGTTGCCCTTTATATAAATAATAGGGAGAGAGATAGCAAAAGGAGAGATAATAACACGCACATGGTAAAAAGAGAAAGAAATAGAGAGAAATCGAGTCGTTGTATCCTTTCTTAAAAAGTATGAGTTGCTTATAAAAACCCTAACTGATTTCTATAGAAAGTAAATAAACCATACAAAAAGATTGGAGCTAGCACTTGTGATTTCTACTATTTCCTTTGTGTGGGTTTAAGCTCAACAGATTATTGATAGAGGTTAGACACTCGGATGACTCTTTTTTTACAAAGGCTAAATCTACACTAAAAAGAGGTAATCTTATACTCATATTTTTAATTCATGTATATATGATTAGTTAATTCAACGAACTTGATCTTGAGAGCCCTAGATAGAGGAAATTTTTTATTTTATTCTACACCTCTAAAGAATGCATGATCCTTCGATTGGTATTAGAGCCATCATTAAATCTTTAATTGTATGCTTTGTTAATTATGACACTACATGAATTATCTATTTCTAATTATAAATTTGATGTTTTTGGTATTTTATAAATATTTAAAACTGATTTTAGGCTAATAAAATAATGAGTGTATGTGAGGCTAACATTAAACATTTGTGTTCGAATGCGTACTTAATGGCCAAACAAGTCATGTGTTGGGCACGCAACAAGCTAGGCGTGCATCGCACATGCTAGGCCTTCTCATCGAGCCGGTCGTGTACAAGGCACGTAATAGGCCCGGCTTGCCTTATGCACGCTAGGCCTTCGGCTAGGCCGATCATATGCTAGTCATGTGATAGGCTAGGCTTGCCTTATGTACCTTAGGCCTTTTGGCCGAGCTAGTCTTACGTTGGGTGCGTGATAAGCCGAGCTTGCCTCGCATACGCCAAGCATACCTTACACACACTAAGCCTTTTGGCTCGATAACTCACGTGCTAGGAAGGTGATAGGCTATGTATGCCTCGTGTATGCTAGGCCTTTTGTGCATTAGGCTTGTGATAGGTAAGGTGTGCTTTATGCACGCTAAGCCTTCTAACCCGACTAGTCACGTGCTTAGGCACACAATAGGCCAAATAGATGATGAGTGTATAATTAGTAAGATTTTGAGGCTCTATTATATTGAGCTTTCTAATATTTATTGTATTATATTTACTTAATTAAGATTAAGATGATAGTTTTGATTTTTGTAGGAAAAATGGTAAATTGAAGCAAAGGAACCTCAAACCAAAACAAGGAGAAGAAAAGTCACCAAGGAAACTTAGAAGAGTGATATGGCCATGCCATTTACAAAGAAAAATAGATACTGGTTGTGTGACACTAATGATGAAATCGTGTGGATTGCTCAACAACAAAGCCACATAGGTAATAGCTTGTCACACGGCTAAAGGAAGGCAAGTGACACGATCATATGTATGTCAAATTCAAAACATCTTTTTAGAGAAAAGAAGTAACATATGGGCGAGAAGACGTTTCATACGGAATTCACTAAACAAAGATGTACTCGTGTCTCATAAAGTTGGAAAAAGCCATACGGGCGAGAGGAAAGTTAGACAAAATGAAGAACAAACCCATACGACTATATGCCTATGCCTATCAAACCGTGCAACAACAATATTCCAAGGCTCTAAGCCTTGTGAAATGAAGAATGAGCCATGTGTCTTTACTATGTAAATTGTGTGACTATATAGGGTCGACACATATATGATGTAACCCTACTTTTAGCTATAAATAGTGATGTTAGGGTCATTTTGGGATTCCAACTTCCGAGTAGCCGCAATAAATAGAAAATGTCTACTTTGTAATTAGTTATGAACAACTAACCATTCATCTTGATTGAATTAAGTTAAAGCTTTTAGTTAACATGTTATGAGATTACGGGTTTTCATTTTAAACTTACCTTGTTTTAGTATTTTATATATTTCTATACGATTTTTTTTGGTTATATAATTAAATTGATTAGAGTGCATATTAGTTATCTAATCATCTTAATCTATTGCTAGCTAAGTATTTCAAGTCCATGTAATTACTTGTCTAAACTTGCCTATGGTAGTACCTAGGGATTAATGATTATTTTTTATGTTTTCGTTTAATCTCTTAGAAAATATAAAACTAGATTACATCTTTCTAACATTTAGAAAGGTGGTTTAGCTTCACTTGTCTTTATCTAATTAATGTTATTATGGGATTAAATCTATCTAGAATCTAATATATTATTAATGGTATGACACATTATCAAATTTTAGCATCGTTGCGAGAAAGGTAGCTCA